CCGTCTTGGGGACCACTGGGCCGTCTTGGGGTCTTCTTGGGGCGCTTCAGCGCCGTCTTGGAGGCCATCTGGGGCGTCTTCAAGGCCTCTTAGGGCCGTATTGAGGCTATCTTGGAGGCCTCTTGATCGCTCTGGCGGCTATCTTTGGGGCCTCTTGGACCGTCTTGGGCCGTCGGGAGGCCGAAAAGAAGCAGATACCACATCCTGCAAAGAAGGAGCGGAACATCAATAATGTTGGCCTCTTCGGGCCTTCCAGGATCTCCTTGTGGAGGCCTTCTGGGCCGTCTTGGATGCCGCTTGGGTTTTTGTTGGGCCATCTTGGGCCATCTGAAAACCATCTTGGGCCGTCTTGGAGACGTTTTGGGCTCTCTTGGGGCAATCTTGACAGTGTTGGAGGCGGTCTTGGAGGCCATCTTGAGACCATCTTAGGGAGGGATGCCAATGAACAACGAAGTTTGCACACTTTTCTGGGTGGCTGGTGGGTTAGGCCGAATGCCCCTAGGAATCAGTAAATAACGTGGCACGCCACAGGGGGCGGCGGAGCTAACGACCTGCTGCCCATCCCGCAACCGTGCCTAGGTTGTAAGTTGATGAGTTGAAGGCCTCTTGGATGCCTGAATGGATCTCTTGGGGGCCTCTCGGAAGCCTCTTGGAGGCGCTTTTGCGGGTGTCTTAGGGCTTCTGGGGGCTTTTTGGGGATTGATTTGGGCTTCTTGGGAGCCTCCTGGTTTTTCTTTGTGGGGCCCTTGGGGGCCTGCTGGCGGTCTCGGGGGTCATCTTGAGGCGGAGAGTGCGACATGTCAGTTCGAGGTCCCCCTTTTTAGGCCCCCTAGGAGCTCTTTTTGGGCTGTCTTGGGCCGTTTGGGGGGCCTCTTAGGCTGTCTTGACTCCCTCTTGGGCGGTCGGGGCCCGTTCGGGGGCCTCTTGGACCGTCTTGGGGCTACCTTTTATCCCTCTTGGGCCGTCTTGGAGCGAGGGCAGCCCGAAAAGGCGAGAACGCTAATTTGTTTCAGACATCAATGGGAAGTCAATTGTTTTTATGCCTCGGGGCCCTCTTGGAGGGCCTCGTGGAGCTCTCTTGCAGCCTCTTGGGCACCTCTTGGACCGTCTTGGGGCCATCCTGGGCATCTTTGACCACCCTTGGGCCGTCTCGAGGGTCTTAGGGCCTTTTGGACTGTCTTAGGAGCCTTTTGGCGCCCTCTTGGCCCGTCTTGAAGCCTTCTTGCCCCCTCGCGAGGGAAGCCACGGGGACACTTGGAAAATCCCAGAAGCGCACAGGAGCGCCCAGAACTTCGGGCTGTGGGCCCCTGATGACTCTAACGGACCTGAGGACACTCCACTCAGTGCCTCGCGGCACGGTGGCGGACCTTTCTGCCAGCGGCGTGAAGCTGGTCGAGGTCGCTTGGATGCTGCCTCCTGGCATGAGGTTCTGGCGCGAAAAGGGCTGGTGCGGGCCGAAGGACCTCGTGAGGCTCCACGCGCTCGGGTTCGAGGGCTACGACGCCGTGGCATACTTCGACAGCGACATGGAGTTCTGGGGCGACCCCTCGCCTGTATTCCGCTGCGCGGCCTCGGGGAGGCTGCTCACCACCGCTGGGCTGGACGGCATCCCGCTCAACATCGGGTTCTTCGCCGTGCGCCCAGACAAGCGCCTGCTCAGGGCCGCAGAGATCTTCGGCCGAGAGGCCGAGTACAACGACAGCTTCGGCTGGGCCGGCAGTGGGTTCGCGCCCGCGGTCAACAAGAAGTACAGGACCGCGGAGTGTGGCCAGGGGTTCATGCACACGCTCTTTTACAAGAGGGGCAGCTCCATGGCCCTACAGGTTCTAGAAGAGGTTGGCCTTGGCGAGGCTGGCTTCATCGGGGAGCAGGTGGACACGTGCGTCTGGAATTACCAGGGCGACTTCTGCGGCGAAAGCTTCGACTGCAGTCAAGTCCGTGTCCACCACAAGCCGAGCCCAGATGCCACGGCACACGACCCGCGCTCACACGGGCGCGCTTGCCAGAAGAGAAGTGATATGACCCCCTCTATCCTTGCTCTGCTGCTACTGCTCCTCCTCCTGCTTCTCCTTATCGTCAGTTGTCGTCGTCGCTGTTAGCGTTTTCATCCTTCCCTCGGTTGCCGCCCCATCCATGTCCGGAGAATGTGGTAGGGGATGTTGGGTGGAAAGGATGTTGCGTGCTGCCTTCTACATCGCGTGGGTGTATGGCTGCATGCACCCACGACTGTACGACAAATGCATGTCTGATGCGTTTGCATGCGTACGCGCGAAGGCCACAGAGCACGTAATGGTGATTCCAGAGACGCGCGATTGGATGAGCATCGTCACAACCGAGTGATCGATTCCACCACCACGTGATTCGACAGTGGCCCTTGGCCAGTGTGCTCTAGACGCTGCTTGCGATGGCAGTGGTCCTCGCGTCGGCGGGCGCCTGGCGTACCTGGCGGGTCGGGGCCCCACCGCGCGCGAGCGCGACAGAAAGAGAGTCCCTGAATCGCACCTCCACCATGGTGGGCATGATGGGGGGCCACTGGCCGCGGGCCGCCCACCCAAGCGACTTGGCGCCGTATTCACCACGGGGGGGGGCCCTGCGGGGGCCGCGGAGCCACGCATCGTAGGTCCTCCGTCCGGCCCTCGCAGCTGCTCCATCGATCCAGGCGCGGTCCACATCGCGGCTGCTCCATTGATCCAGGCCCGTGGGTCCTGATCGTGCCCACGGAGGACCCCCCAGGAGCGACGGGGTGGGGGCGACCGCGAGGACAAACTCTGCGCGCAGGCTGCCGCGGCGCGCGAGTGCCCTCCCCTTCCGCGCGGGGCGGCCGCGCCGGCGGCCTGCGCCGGCGGCACCGCGTTGGCCCGCGCAAGGGGCTCGGCCGACGGGGCCCACTGCCAACTGCGCCATCACAAGGAGTTGCCTCTCGCCCGTTGGCCGCTTTGGGCCCACTGGCAGCCGCCCGCTCTCCGGTCGATCTGGGCGCCCACCCTGCCGAGCGGAGCCGAGGCTGAAATGGCGCAGCTGCCGCACGCCGTAGCCGCCACGGCCGGGCCGCCGGGAGCCGCTGCAGCTGCTCTCTCAGGAGCAACGACAGGAGGGGATCGGTGGGCACCGCCCGGGGGCAACGAGACCCTGAGATCCGGGCGTTGCGATTTTTTCACACCGTGCGTTTTCGCCCCCGGCTCGAATAATGCCGAAGAGAGATTGGGTTTGGTGTTCTGGCTGCGATGCTGCAAGGTTCCCCAACGGCGGATCTCATGGGGGGGGGCTAGGATCGGGGGCGGATGCATCGACCCTCGATCGCCCACTGACCCTCGATTGCCCATTGATCACCGACGGGGCACTGACAGCCCAACCCGAATTCGCTGTCGGGAGCCTATCGGCCGATCGCCGATCTATCGGCGATTCTCGTCGATTCCAGGTCGCCGTTTGCCCCCTGCCGTTCCCCCTCCTTCCCTGCTCCTCCACCAGGCCTCTTCGCGTCGTGGACACGACCACGATTGGGAGGCGTCTGGCAGTTTTCGGCCTTTGGGGGTGCCCTTCACCAGCCCCAAGGGCCGTCAGCAAGGCAGCTCGGGACGAAGAGCGGGCCTTGGGCAAGGAGGCGAGAGGTCCGGGGTCCCACGCTGCTCAGCAATCGCGACGTCGCGGATCTGGTCCCCGGACTTCGAGAGTCGCGAACCACAGCAACGCATGCGTTTCTCCGCCGTGTACGCGGATCAGCGAAAAGTGCCTTTGGGAACAACCCCGTCCTGGGGGATGGTCCTGGTGTCGAGAGCTCTGGGGCGCGCGTTGTGAATAGGGCACGACGTCGGGTATCTGGCCTCCCGTAACCCTGGGTATTGCCCAGGCAGTGGGGCAGGCGCTCTCGACTCAGCTTTGGATTCTGGAGCCCTCGCGAGTCGATCCAGCTTGCAAAAAGGGACGCGTGGAGATGGGGGCGAGAGCTCTGGCCACCAGCGCCAACCCTGAGGTCCGAGGTTGCGAAGCAAATGCAACACCGTGAAGAATCACGAGTGGAGCCCCAGACCCCATCTTTCTGCTGCATTTATTTGAGCTGAATCGACATGTGATGGTCATGGGGCCCGGAGCGGGGCGAAAACGCCTGGCGCGAAAACTCCGCAACGTCTGGATCCTCAGGGCACGACGCCTTGGGCCTTGGGCCTTGGGCTGCTGCTCACGGCCCCAGCGCGCCTGACGCTTTGGCTCGAGCCGCCGCGGGGGCGCACGGCGAGGAGCCGCCGGGAGCGCCCGCTCCCGGCTGCCGCGCGCCACGGGGCGCGCCTCGGCTCCCGCGGCATGGGCCACTAGAGCTGCCCGCGCCGCGCGCCCGGGCTTCCTCGGGGCGGCCCGCTGGCGCGGCGACGATGCCCGCCGCGGGGCCGCCGACGCCCCGCGGGGCTGGCGTGGAGAACAGCTCCGCTGGCCAGAGAAAGCCAAGCGCGGGGGCCAGCCTCCGCGGCGCCCCTGGCGGCCGCTCCAAGCCCGGCGCGGAGGTGGCCGCGGGCGGCCGTCGGCCGTCGCGCGGGGGCAGCGGCAGCGGCCGCGGCGCTTGCCAGTCGGCGGGCCCTGCGCTCCCTGCGGCGCCCAGGCGGGCACCGCCCGCAACCCTGGCGAGCATGCGAGCCGCACGGGCGGGCGCGGCGCCGGGGCTGGGCGCGACGTGGCCGCGCTGGGGCAGCGCCGGGGCATCCACATGGGAGCGGGGGCAGCCCCAGGGCAGCCCTCGCGGAGGCAGCGGCGGCTCCTGCGGCGCTGTCCTGGCGGGTCCGCCTGCCGCCGGCTGGCCTGAGGCCCCGCGGACGGCCAGGCCGCTGTCCGCTCGCGCAGCGCCAGCCAGTGCTCCAGCGCGGGTAGGCCGCGTCAGGGCGGAGACGCCCGAGGCCGACCCTGATCCGTCGAGGTTCCCAGTCAGCGTGCCGCAGATCGGGCCCATAGGCGCCCCGGACGGCGCCGCTCGGCTCGTGGAGGTGATGCGGGGTGCAGACTGCGACGGCGTGCGCATGGGGACCCTGAGGGCGCTCGACCGCTCGCAGCGCTCTCACCTGGGCGCCTTCGCCTCCGCTGGCGGCCTGGAGGTGCTTGCGAGCTGGATCCGCCGTCATCCCGTTTGCCGCTACGCCTGTCTCGCCGTGCTCCAGGGCATCCCGGTCACCACCCGCAGTCCCCATTCGGCGTCGCTCGCAGAGACCGTCGCAGAGGTGCTGCGTAGCGACGCGGACGAAAGGAACCGCGAGAAGGCCCAGGAGATCATGGAGTCCTGGAGCAGTCAGGCCATGCTCGAGGAGGACGTGGCCGAGGACGCCCGCCTGGGCTCCCCCGCTGCCACGGCCGAGAGCTGGCGCGCGCGGATGCCGCGCTCCCCCTCGGCGCCGCTTGCGTCCATCGCCGCGGCGTCTCTGGCGCCGGGCGCCGCGGTCGAGTCGCTGTTCCGGTGGCCCGACTCGGAGGACGTGGCATTCTCAGACTCCCCCGTGCGCGAGGTCACCCACACAACGTTCCGCTGCGGCCTGCGCGTGGCGCAGGGCTCGCCGCTGGACCGCGAGATCAGCGACGCGGGCCTGTCGCACAAGGATTTCTTCGAGGGCCTGCACCGGTACAACCACTACGTGGCCGAGGGCGTGCCAGCCTCCCTCGTGGCGCCCTTCGAGACCACCAGGCTGGCCAGCGTGGGGGCCCTCGTGGAGTCGGACAGCTTCTGGCGGCTGGCGCCCGACCTCGGGGCTTCTGGCAGGGCCGGCGTGGTGTCCGAAGTGCTCCTGGAGGCGACCGAGGACTACGAGCTCGCGGTGCGCAGGGCCACCGTCGACCACTTGCTCCTCGACGAGCGCGCCCGGCGGCGCGCCGGCGTGCACTTCGTTCCGCGTCGCGAGGCCCGGTGGGGAGACGGCGTGCTCCGAGGCGTCGAGGGCGCCGTGGGCCGGCCCGCCCCGGAGGCCTGGGGCCCGGCGGCGCGGGCCGCGCGCGCCGCGGTGGCGGCCTCCCTGGGCTGCTTCAGCCGGGCCTCGGTGGCGCTGCTGGACCTGTGGGAGCGGGAGCTCGCGGGCCTCCTGCTGGTGGACCTGCCCGAGCCCGCCGCCTCCGAGGCCGAGCTGCTGGGCCCGGGGGCCTTCTTCGCGGCGCAGGCCGCCCAGCTCCGCGCCGTCAGGGGCCGCCTCGAGGGCGAGTGGCGGGAGCGCACGGCCGAGCTGCTTCGGGCCCAGCAGGCCGCGCACGGCGTCGGGGCCGAGCTGCTGCGGAGGGCCGCCAGCGTCCTGATGGCCATCCAGGTGAGAGGCGCCGTCGAGCGGAGCATCAGCGCCCTCGTGGGCTTCCTCGGCCGCTTCGGCCAGAAGGAGCCCATGGCCCCAGACCGGGCAGCGCGCCTCGGCGGCCGGGACGACGCGGACACCTCGTTCCTCGTGGTGCGCCTCACGGTGGAGGAGGGCGCGGTGCGCTTCGCGGCCCCTCTGCGCGAGCTGGGCGGTGGCCTCCTCGACGTCTTCCGGCGCCTCGTGACTGGACTGTCGGGGCTCGTAGAGCCTGGCGCGGGAGGCGACGGCTCTGGCGGCCCATTGGAGTGCCAGTGTGAGGCGCTACTCTCTGATTCTCGTGCGCAGCTGGCGATCAGCTTCATCGGCGACGTGGTGAGCCTGAACACGACGAGCGCCGAGAAGACCTTGCGGCTGTACGATGAGTTTGAGTTCCTGCTCGAGGAGGAGGCCAAGGTGCGCCGTCTCGTGCAGGGTGGCCCGCTGACCCAGCAGGAGTACGTGTCTCACATCGAGCGGCTGCTCGAGGCGGAGGCGCGTCTCTCCCGGAGCCGGCCGGAGTTCGTGCGCCTGCAGCTGGTCTCCGTGGACTGCCGCTCGGTCAACGAGGCGCTCCGCCAGGGCGCCGCTGCGGCCGTGGGCGTCTTGCTGCAGGCGGTGGCGGACGTTCTGCTGAGCATGGCCGATGCCCTCATCGGGGACTTCGAGGCGCTGGCCACGCGGTTGTCCCGCCGGTCCGAGGCCGAGCTGACCGCGCTGCCCTCGGTGTCCGAGCTGGTGAGCTTCGAGGCGGCCGCGGCCGAGTTCCGCGCGGGGGGGCGCGAGGCGCTCCTGGAGGCGTTCGGCCGCCTCTGCGACTGGCTGGCGTTCGCCCAGCGGTGCGAGGAGAGGTGCTGCGTGCCCGCCCTGTCTGGGGCGCACTTCCAGAGGGTCAGCGACGCGTCGGGCTGGGTGGGCTACATCGACGAGGTGGCGGACGACGCCGAGGAGCGGCTGCAACGGGAGCGCGAGATGCTTGAGCAGGGCTTCGAGGAACGGCGCGGGGCTCTGCTGGAGGAGATCCAGCGGCTCCGGGATGCGGGCGCCGTCCTGAGGAGCTGCAGCAACTTGCGCCATGCCGAGGATCAAGGGAGGAAAAGCTGCATGAGCATACTCCACATTCCGCATCAAAGGGTGGGGGTCACAACCCTCCCAGACGAGTAATTCTCGACCCCCCCCTGAGACCAGCCATGAAAGGGCGGCCTTCTGCCTGGACCCCCCGGAACCTTGCAAGACAGATCGAATCAGACCCCCTCCCAAATCAGACCACATCCTTTTATTGGGTCGGCAATGGACCCTGCTGGCGGCGCCTCTGGTTCCGTCCCTTGCGCGCCCCGCGCGCCTGGGAGGGAGGCCTAGCGCCGATCCAAGAAATCCACGCGGACCTCCGAGAGCGGGTGTTTATCTAGTTGCGCTGCCGCGCAAATCCACCACCGTGCTCGAGGAAGCCGCGTAGCATGGCCGCAGCGAGGCGTGGTCGCTGGGTTTCATGGTTCACGCGCTGTGTTGAACGGGACTGGCCTGCAGTTTCCCTCGGAGAAGTCAGGCCATTCTGAGGGGGTCCTGGGAGTCGAGGAGCTGTCTCTGTGTAGTTATCAAGCGCTTGTCGGCCTTTCTGAGGCTTCACTTTTTCCGTAGTCAGCTTGCCTACAAGGGTTCTCTCTCTCTCTCTCTTTCTCTCTCTCTCTCTCTCTCTCTCTCTCTTGCTTATTTATATATAAAAATATATGTATATATAAAAAAATCTAAATGATTGTTCCCCATACAGTGTTTGCACGTAGGGTTCTCACCCAGGTTTCTTGAATCATTGGATGGGTTTGCTGAGCTTTCGCCACGTTGACACCCGAGCCGTCTCGTGGGCTCCTCGCAGGCGCCCTGTGCGTTGGGTCGGTTTCGAGGTTGCGCCACGTTGCCGCCCGTGCCGCCTCGTGGGCGCCTTGGGGGCGTCCCGAAGTTGCGCCACGTTGCCGCCCGTGCCGCCTCGTGCGCGCCGCGTGCTCTGAGCTTACACGGCATAGCTTTCACCACGCAGCTTGCACTAAATGGCTTGCACCGCACATTTCACACCGCATGGATTGCACAACATGCCTTACACCACATAGCTTGCACCCCATTGCTTTCACCTCCAATTCTTTCCGAGCTGGCACGGCACAGCTTTCATCACACAGCTTACACCACATACTTTACATCACCTCACACGCCACATATTACACCACACAGCTTGCACCGTGTAAGTTTAACCTTTCTAGCCTTCACCACCACATTTCTTACACGACATAGCTTTCACCACATAACTTGCGCCGCAGAGCTTTCACTTCAACAGTGTAATACCGCACTGTTTGGTGTCCAAGCTGGCCAACACATATGTAAACAAGAAACTAGTAGATGCGCTGCCAGATATTTGTCGATCGGGTGACGTTGTCTCCCACTGTTGCCCACTGCATTCCCCTGCGTAATCTTATCTTTATCCTTTTTCATATCCCTATCCCTATCTCTATCCCTATCTCCCTATCCTCATTTCTTCCATTCCTATCCTAGATCCATATCCCCATCGCGAACCCTACTCATCCTGCGGGATCGCCAAGAAAAAATCCGCTCCCCCTCCATCCGTAGAGCATCGGGCCGTTAGGCTGAAATTCATGATATATCCGTACCCTCATCTCCCTGGTCCCATATCCCTACCCCTCTCCCTATCCCCATCCCGTTCCCCATCGTGGCCAACCATCGTGGTCCCCCTTCGTGACCCCCCGTCGTTCCCCCCCCCGTGACGGTGTGAAGCTGTTCGGGGTCCTCTGCCGCGCGGGTGGGGCGCCTTCCTCTGCAGGAATACCTGGAGCGCGCCGAGTGCCTGCGGGCCGAGCTCGCCAGGGCGCGCGTGGAGGCGGGCGCCTTGTCGGAGCAGGAGCGGTCCTTCGGGTGGGAGCCGCGCGAGCTCGAGGAGTTGCGGCGGGGCGAGCAGGAGCCACGAAGAGGCAGGGCAGCACACCGCAGGCACGCCAGTTGAGAGAGACCGGCCTGCCAGCGGATGCCCCGCGCGAGCTTTCGGGGTGATGACAGGGGATGGGGGGGGATATGATGGCCGGGGCCATCATATCCACCAAGATTTCATGGCATTCTCTTCTCAGTTCAATGCGTCACTTGGTCCCGGCTTTGCCGCACACCTTAGACGCTCCTCCCCTTGGACGCCCCCGAGAGCCCAGGGTCGGCAAAGGATCCGCCCCGAAACTTCTCATGGCGAGGTTCCTTATCGTATGCGCTTGCTGTAAGCATCATATCGTAGGTTCCTTATCGTAGTTTCCTTATCGTAGGTCCTTTATCGTATCGTATGGTGTGCTCCTTATCGTAAGATCCTTGCGAAAGCCCCCGCGCGGGTTTCTTGGATCGGCGCTGGGCCCCTCTCCCTGGCGCGCGGAGCGCGCCAGCGGGATCAAGCACAGGTCCAAGAGATCTGCGCGGACCTCCGAGTCTTCACGCGCCTATGCTTGTTTTACTCTTGGAAGGAGCTTGAGCCGCTCTGCTCGCTGTGGGCGCTGGCCTGCGACCTGGCCAGGGCGGAGAGGTCGATGCTGCGCGCCGCACTGTTCTCTCTGGACCCCATCCAGCTGAGGCGCGAGGTGCACGCGATGCTGCAGGAGTCGAAGAAGAGAGGTCGGCATGAGCGTGAGCTTTCTTAGCGCGCGAAGAACGGTACCATAGCCCCCATCAGTTGTGGACAGGAGTGAGGGGGCGGCGGGGTCGTCGGCGGTCTGCATGGCTCTGAATACGCCCGCCGCGGGCGCCGAAGTTTTACATATTGCACAACGAACCCGCCGCAGGCGCCGAATTGTCGACAAAACACTGTGGGTGGGGCGCGGTTGGGTCACGGGGTGGGTCGCGGCCGACGACGACGACGACGACGACGACGACGACGACGACAACAACAATGTTCATTGTAGGGTTGTTCGTTGTTACTTGCTCGCATGTTGTTCAACATGTGAATCCCAAGCCCTCGATATCCGCCCTCTTCGTCTTCGACCGCGCCCCCCTTGGGTTTATATCTTCCGAACTCGCCACGTGTTGTTGACGCAGCCCCTGACAAACGGGAAGGGACAGGAGGAGGGAAGGGACAAGGTGGAGGGCGAAGGATGTAGCCCGAGACAAATTTGCAATATGGGGGTTAGGAACAGGATAATAAGGGGCATAACCAGACGGGCGGGTCGGGCGGGCGGACCCTAACGGGTGGGTCGGGCGGGCAGGCCCAAACAGCAGGGTTGAGCGGGCGGGCCGCTTAAGCTTCAGTCCCGCACGAGTCGCGAGGAAGTCTCGAGCGACAGCGCGATTCCCAAGGCAATCGTTAGAAAATCCAGAAGGTGAACGTGATTCCTGAGTGTCGAGGGCAAGACAGTTCAATTCAATATGTTGCGAGGATGTTCCAAGCGAAAGCGCAATTTCTACATACATTGCAAAAAGTCCCGTACGAGAGCGCGATGCTGGATACATTGTAAGGAAGTATCTAGCGGGAGCCGTTGCTGCTTTTTTCGATCAAAATATATGTTGTTGATCCCCCCCTGCCTGGTGCCCGCTGTATTCCATTGTAGTTTAATTGTTCGTTCCTGGGCTCGCACACGGTTTCTACAAGAAGTAAGATTTGCGCCGCAGAATGGGTTGCTGGCCCCTGAACTACAACAACGGCTCCCGCCTGATACTTCCTCACCAGTTATTCCAAATCGGGCTATCGCGCGGGATTTCATTACAAGTTGTTATGCAGTAGTCGCACTCTCGCGTGGTACTTCGTCGCAAAGTGTCAAACGCCGCTCCTTTGACACTCAGGCATCACGCTCTGGCTTTGGATTTCCTCACGATTTGCTTGGGAACCGCGCTGTCGCACGGGACTTCCTCGCAATTAATGCGGAACTGGTGCTTCAGCGACCCGCCCGCTCGACCCCGCAGTCGGGGCCCGCCTGCCCGACCCGCCCCGCCCGACCCACTCGTCTGGTCTGCCGTATTAATCCCCGTCCTGCTAATCTCTGTCGTGCGCCATCCTTCTCTCTCCCCGTTGTCCCTTCCCTCCTCCCTTCCCCTGTATACGTGGCAGTTAAGGAAGATAGACCCCCAGGGGGGTATGCTCGAAAACGAAAAGGGCGGGTATCGAGGGTTTGGGACATACGTGCTGGACGGCACGCTTTCAGATAAGAGCGAATAGTCTGAAATTGATTGTTGTCGTTGCTGTGATAAGCCAGGGGTCAAAGATATTCTGAGGCCCAATATTTTCCTTTATGAAGAAAGCGTTGTGCGAGCCCCAGGGGGCACTTTAATTGAAGAAACACAGGTGGCACCGGAGGGAGGATCAACAATAGTGGTGCTTCCTTAGAAATGAAACGCCTACAACAACAGCAACGACGACGACAACAACAATACGCACTTTAATCTTGTTCAGTTGTACACGCACGCGTGCCATTCAACACTTTTAGCCCAAACCCTCGATATTCGCCCTCTTCGTTTTCGATCATACCCCCTGGGGGTATCTCTTCCTTAATTGCCACGTGTAGTTGCCACAGCCACAAAATACAGGGGAAGGGAGGAGGGAAGGGACAACGGGGAGAGAGAAGGATGGCGCACGACGGAGATTAGCAGGAGGGGGGGTTAAGACGGCAGACCAGACGAGCGGGTCGGGCGGGGCGGGTCGGGCAGGCGGGCCCGGGCATATCTTCCTTACCTGTCGAGCGTAATTGGCACAGCCTTCAAAACAAGGGAACAGAGGACGTATCTAAGGGGGAGGGAGAAGGATTAATCACGGGATCCGAAGGTGGGGGCTAGAAGCAGAAAACACGTGGCTGAACCAGACGGGCTGAGCGGGTGGGTAGACCCCAACGGGCGGGTCGGGAAGGCGGGCCCAAGGCCTTGAGTAAAAAAGAGAGGAGGTCTCGAGCGGGATCGCTGTTTTTGCTGGGGGTGGCGCCGATGAGAGAAAGAGTAGCGCGCCAGTCCACGGTAAAACTGGAGGAAGTCTCGAGCGGTAGCGCTGGTTTTGTTGGGACGGCGGCTTTCGGCGGCGAGCAAGAGCACCGGCCCTGAGTAAAAATTGAGGAAATCTCGAGCGGGAGCGTTGTTGTTGTTGTTGTTGTTGGGGGCCTGGTTTTGGCGCCCCCCTGGCCGCTCGAGCGTGAGCTTCATTTTCAATGAAAATGTAGCCGGCGCCGGGGCGAGAGCGCCAAGGCGCGTGGGGGGGGTCCAACAATAATCATTGTTTAGTACTTAACATTCAACAACAGCAGCAACAACAACAATCATTTTAAGACTGTTCGGCTCCCGCCTGATACTTCCTCACAATGTATTCCCAAATCGCGCTCTCGCGCGGGACTTCTTCACAATTGGTGTACGCGTCGTGCTCTCGCGTGGGACTTCCTCGCAATTTATTCAGACGATGCGCCCTCGGCGCTCAGGAATCACCCTTTCGCTATGGCGCTACTCACGATTTACCTGGGGATCGCGCTATCGCTCGAGACTTCCTCGCGATTCATGCAGGGCCCACGCTTCAGCAACCCGCCAGCTCGACCTGGTCGCCTGGGCCCGCCTTCCCGACCTGCCCGCTATGGGTCTGCCCACCCGATCTGCCCGTCTGGTTATACCACTTGTTTTCTGCTTTCTGCCCCCCTCCTGCTCATTTCTTTCGTGCTCCATTATTCTCCCTCCCCTTTCCACCCGTCCTCTATTCCATTGTTTTCGTGGCTGCACGAAATGCACGTGGCAGTTAAGGAAGATATACCCCCAAGGGGGTACGATCGAAGACGACGAGGGCGGGTACCGAGGGTTCGGGACACACGTGTTGATTGGCACGTGAGCAGATAGGAACGAACAGTCTTAAACTGATTGTTGTTGTTGTTGTTGTTGTTGTTGTTGTTGTTGTTGTTGTTGTTGTTGTTGTTGTTGTTGTTGTTGTTGAACATTATTACTTCTAAAGAATAATTATTGTTGGGACCCCTGGTGCACGCCCCCCCGCCGCGCCTAGGCCGCAGCCACATTTTCATCATTTTCGTGAGGAAGTCTCAGGCAAAACGGGTTGGTCCGGATCCGGTTGTTTTGTTCCCCCCCGCTTTCCCTTGCAAAAAATAAGCTAAAGTGGACATTTCTTGTTCTAACATAACCAAACTTCAAGAATCCCTTGCAAAAAATAAGGTAAAGTGGACATTCGCGCGCGCAAGACGAAATCCTTCCAAAACCTTAGTTTTCGTAGCGATTTTAACATAAAAACATCAAAAAACCAATGGTTTTTCAAAAAAAAATGTCAAAATTTCATCCCGCGCGCTCTTGCGGATTCGTAGGAAACCCAACACTTTTTAAACATTTCTGTCAAACGGGCTTTTGCGAGCAACTTTTTCGAACTTCTGCAACAACGGTTGCGCACCTGCCAGGGCCATCATCCCTGTCAAATAATACCATGCGGGACACATTCGTTTTTTCTTCGCGCGCGCACGCCGTCGTCGTCGGCCGCGGGGCCCTGAATAGTAGCCACGGTCGTCCGCATGCCACGAAGTGAAGTGTCCGAACGTCATAGGGCGGGAAGCTGGGTGTGGGTGGTGGCGAAGAGTCGTTTGGAAATTTGGTAGAGCTTGAACCGGCCCCCCCACAAAGTGGGGGTATTGCCCGCCTCCTATGAAAACCCTGGCACTGGTGAGAACGGAGTGTCCCCACGTGCTAGTACTTGTTGTTGTTGTTGTTGTTGTTGTTGTTGTTGTTGTTGTTGTCTCACTACTCAAGAGTAATTATTTGTGACCCCCCTCGGGTGGCAACCTGTGTTTTTTCACTTGAAGTGCTTCCCCCGGGCCCGCATATTGTTTTTCATGAGGGGAAGTCATTAGGCTCCAACTGGATCGTTGGCCCCCGGATTACAACAACAACGGCTCCCGCTTGAGATTTTCTTCACAATTTAACCAGGGCCCCCGCTCCCGCCTGAGACTTCCCCATTTTACTCAGGAGTCGCGCTCTCGCTGGGAACTTCTTGCAATTTATGCAAGAGTCGCTCTCTCGGCGCTCTGGAATCGCGCTCTCGCTGGAGACTCGCGCGCAACGTACTCAAGAATCGCGCTCTTGCGTTGGAATTGTCTGCAATTTACTCGAGCGCCGCGCTCCCGACGTTCGGGCACCCAGGAGTCGCGCTCACGCTTAGGACTCCCTCACAGCATAGGAATCGGGATATCGCTGCTTTTCGTGGCCCCGTTGCAGCCCTTCGTGGCCCCCTCGCTTCCCTTCGTGGGTCCGTTGCAGCCCTTCGTGGCCCCCTCGCTGCCCTTCGTGGCCTTGTTGCAACCCTTCGTGGCCCCGTCGCTGCCCTTCGTGGACCCGTTGCAGCCCATCGTGGCCCCTTCGCTGCCCCTTGTGGCCCCGTTGCAGCCCTTCGTGGCCCCCTCGCTTCCCTTCGTGGCCTCGTTGCAGCCCTTCGAGGCTCCCTCGCTGCCCTTCGTGGCCCCGTTGCAGCCCTTCGTGGCCCCCTCGCTGCCCTTCGTGGCCCCACTGCAGCCCTTCGTGGCCCCCTCGCGGCCCCGTTGCACCCCTTCGTGGCCCCCTCGCTGCCCTTCGTGGCCCCATATATGTATGCCCTTCGTGGCCCCCGCTCGTTCGCGCCCGTCGTGGCCCCATATGCATGCGTTTCGTGGCCCCGTGGCGCCCTCGCTGCCCTTCGTGGCCCCGTTGCTGCCCTCAGTGGCCCCGTCCTTGCCCTCTGCGGCCCAATCTACGCATGCCCTTCGTGGCCCCCACTCGTTCGCGACCGTCGTGGCCCTATATGCATGCGCTTCGTGGCCCCGCTGTCGCCCTGTGTGGCCCCCTCGCTGTCCTACGTGGCCCGGTTGCTACCTTCAGTGACCCCGTCGTTGCCCTCTGTGGCCCCGCATTATTTGCCCTTCGTGGCCCCCGCTCGTTCGCGCCCTTCGTGGCCCCATACGCATGCCCTTCGTGGCCCCGCTGTCGCCCTGCCCCCTTCCTGCCCTTCGTGGCCCCGCTGTCGCTCTCGCTCTCGCTCTGGCTCTCGTTTTCGCTCGTCGCCGTCGTTTTCGTCGTCGTCGTCGTGGTCGGTCCCCTGTCCGTCCCTCTGGGGGCCAGGTTGCCTCCGATCAGCGCTGCCACTGGCCAGGCCGACGGTCCGCGGCCGCCTCGCCGCTTGCCGGGGCCTGGCCTTCAGGGAAGAAATATATATACCCCCACAATGAATACGATCGAAGACGACGAGGGCGGGTATCGAGGGTGCGGGAATTACGCGTTGAATGACACTCGAGCAGATAAGAGCGTACAGTCTTAACATGATTGTTGTTGTCTGGGGCCCAACAAAGCAGTTTGGTGACCCTACACTTTCCTGTGTAAAAAGAAAGGTGCGAGCCCGAGGAGGAGCATTTTGGTTGAACACACACACAATGATCACCGGGCAAGTATGATCAACATTAAGTCTTGTTTACACATGAGATTTCAACAACCTTTACAACGGCAAGAGCACCACCACCAATAACAATAGCAGCAACAACATTGACGTCAACAACAACACCACCACCAACAATAGCAACATTTGAACAACACAGCATCAACGACAACGACAACGACAACAACGACAGTAACAACAGCAACACCAAGAACACTAACACCAACGCCACCACCGACAACAACAAACAAGCATCATCTGCGCCGCGGAATCCCACTTCAGCCACACTCTCAGGGACGGTGCAAGAACCTTCGGCCCCCTCACTCTGATAATTTGTTGTTCCCGCCATCGGGGACGCCTGCCCCAGGGCGGCTGGAAATTTGACACCCCCACCTGCCACCATAGGGGGGATCAACTTCCCGGCCAGCCTGGGACAGGCCGGCCCCGATCGCAGAAGAGTTTGTTCTGTCCCGTGCTTCGCCTGCTAACTCTCGGAGTTTTGTGCGCATTTCTTGGATCGGCGCTGAACCCCCATTGGCGGCACCTCCGGCGTCATCCTTGGCGCGCCTCCGCGCGCCAGGGAGTGTGGTCCAGCGGCGATCCGAGAAATCCGCGCGGGACCTCCAAAGGCTTGAGTTTCTGCAGTGGCGCCCCATGCTCTCTGAAGGCCACCTTTGGACGATCTTGAGCCTTGGGTCATATCTCAGCGATATTGGGACCTCTGGGGTCCGTCCGTGACTCCGGGAACGCGCACCTGTCGTAATTTTGCAGCTGGCAGCTGCAAGGATTGTTCCCCAGAGAGCGCGTCCCGTTTTGTCATCCTGAGGAGGCGCAGCGCTTGCGGGAGGTCTTCCTCGAGGACTCCACGGGCGCGAGCAGCGCCTGCGGCGCAATGGCCTCCAGGGCGCCGACCAATGTCGCTGGGCAGCTCGAGAAGCTGGCCACCAGGCACGGCCACTTCCGGTCCGATTCGATGCGATTTGATTCGATTCGCTGGCGATTCGATTTGGCATGACTCACCGGCATCGGCCAGGGCCAGCCTGAGCCAGGCGCGACGGTCCGACTTCGATCCAATTCTTGGCGATTCGCTGGCGACCCGATCCGACTCCGACCCGATCCGATCTCGCGATTTGCTCCTGCTCGAGCCTGTCAGGGTTCTGACGCGCCACGTCGGCCTGGCGCAAGCGCTGTGCAACGAGAGCCTGCAGGCCTCGGGGGCGTCCAGGAGGGGGGGATGATTAGGGGGGGGATGCATCATGAATCCGGTCTAGAGTTGTTCCCCAATCAGAGCTTGCCTCTGTAGGGGTCCTAGCGGATTCATATGGTTAGGTGAGGTGGGGCGCCGATTTCGGCGGCACGCCCGGGTGCCCAGGTGCCAGTGTGCCCGCTAGCCCTATAGCCCTACAGCCCTATGTCACTATAGCCTTATAGCCTTAAATTGCTGTAGCCCTAATAGCCCTATAGCTCTATAGCCCTATAGCCTTATAGCCCCATAGCCCTATAGCCTTATAGCCTTATAGCCCTATAGCCCTGTAGCCCTATAGCCCTACAGCCTTATAGCCCCAGAGCCTCATGGCCCTATAGCCCTATAGCATTATAGCCTTTACAAGATTCAGATTGGGTTTTTTTCTCCGGTATCATTCAACTTAATTTTTTGGATCACTGGATCACCGCATCAGTGATTCAGCGTGGAAAAATCACCGGATCACCAGACCAGTGATTACCAGATCACCAGTTCAGTGATCCGGCCAGATCACCAGATCACTAGATCAGTGATCCAGCCTGGCCAGAACACCAGATCACAGGATCATTGCAGCAGTGATGCAGCCCAGTTGCGGATCACCAGATCAGTGGATCACCGCATCACAGGATCATGCGGCTGGATGACCGGATCACCAGATCACCCGATCAGTGTTCCAGCCCAGCCAGATCACCAGGTCACCGGATCAGTGATCCAGGGCGGCTGGAACACCAGATCACTGGATCAGCGATCCATGTCGGCCAGATCACCAGATTACCAGATCAGTGATCCAGCCTGACTGACCGGATCACCAATTCATTGGATCACCAGATCAGTGATCCAGCCCAGTTGGATCATAGGATCACCAGATCACCAGATCAGTCTTCCAGCCCAGCCAGATCACCGGATTACCGGATCAGATCCAGCCAAGCTGGATCACCGTGGATCACCGGATCAGTGATCCATGTCGGCCAGACGACCTGATCAGATCACCGGATCATCGGATCACGGGATCGGTGATGCAGCCCGCTCGCGGATCACCGGATCATTGGATCATTGGATCCGTCGACCGGATCCCCAGATCACCGATTTTTGGATCACCAGATCACCAGACCAGGCGGCACCGCGGATCACTGGATCAGTGATCCAGCCTGGCGGGATCACCGGATCACCAGATCTCGGGATCAGTGATTCAGCCCACCTGGATCACGTGTTCACCATTCTTTCACCATGTTGCTCTTGTTGCTGGTTCATACATGTACCCAGTTATCTCAATGATTAGCTACTTACCCTGCCTCTTGTATGTGGACTCACCGTCAGTAAACTAAGTGCTACGTGCAGGCGGTAATTTGTTTATAAGGGGACTTGTGTTGTACCTATAAGTATACTTATATAGATGTAGTGCAGGCGTCCGAGGACGAACACGAGGAACGAGCCGCACAAGGACAGCACAGCGCCCAGGGGGGATCATTTTTTTTTTTGTTGTTTCTCTCACTCTCTCCCTTCCTCTCTCTTTCTCTATATATATCTTGATAGATGATATCTCTCTCTTGTGTCTCTCTCCCTCTCTCTGTCTCTTTGTCTCTCTCTCTCTCTGTCTCTCTCTCTCTCTCTCTTTGTATCGTTATCTCTCTATAGTTTGTTCCTCTCTTGCTCTCTCTCTCTATTTCTCTCTCGGTGTACTTCTCATACGTGCACATACCTACGTGTGTATGTATGTATGTATGTATGTATGTATGTATGTATGTATGTATGTATGTATGTATGTATGTATGTATGTATGTATGTATATATGTATGTATGTATGTATGTATGTATGTATGTATGTATGCATGTATGTATGTATGTATGTATGTATGTATGTATGTATGTATGTATGTATGTATACGTATACATACACTCCCAAGTTGTCATACATTCCTCTCCTATATTTTTACAAGCCCGGGCGGGGGGACCCCCCACCAAAACCGGACTCCCGGCATCTGTGGCTTTTGGACCCTGAATCAGGCAGCTGGACCAGCAGATCACCAGGTCAGGGGACCCGATCACCAGATCACCGGATCACGCGGCCAGATCACCAGTTTCTAGATCACCAGATTTCTGGGTCACCTGATCAGGCGGCCGGATCACTGGATCACCACTAGATCACCGGATCAGGCGGAGGGATCACTGGATCACCAGATCACCAGCTCAGGCGGACGGATCACCAGATCACTTGATTAAAGGATTGGATCACCAGATCATTTGGATCATTTGATCACTGGATCACGCGGCCAGATTACACGGATCATCTGAGCTGGCGGATCGATCCACAGGATCACGATCACCAGATCTCCGGATCACGCGGCCAGATTACCAGATGACCAGAACATTGTATCACCGCATCACCAGATCACGCGGCCGCATCATTGGATCACCAGACCAGGCGACCAGGATTACCGGATCACCAGATCACTGGATCCGGCGGCCAGATCACCGGAGCAGCGGATCATCAGATCACCAGATCAGGCGGCCGGATCACCGGATCGATTCGATTCAAATAAGATTTATAGTGCACATGCATTCGGATGTACCGGCCAGGGCCATGATATCTCACCAGACGGCATGGCTGCCTCTTCTCCTCTCGGTGCACATGCCTCGGGCCATGATTTGCGAACCTCCCATTTGGACGACTCCGTCGTGGACTCCCCCGAAGGCCCGGCACTGGGAGCAGATCTCGGGCGTGCTCGGCGTGCACATCCACGCCGACGCCCACGTCACGCTGAAGGGGCTGCTGGCCTCGCAGGAGGCCGAGGCCGGGGGGCACGCCTTGCAGCTGCAGCTCATCAGCGAGGCCGCCACGCGGGAGCACGAGATCGAGCGCCTCCTGGACGCGATGGAGACGGACTGGAAGTTCGTGGAGCTCGGACAATGCACAGCTGCGCCACCACAAACTTTCGGAGATCTGTTCGGATTTCTCGGATCGGCGACCCCCTTCCCTGGCGCGCGGAGGCGCGCCAAGGGCGGCACCTCCGGCGCCGCCGGGGAGGTCAGCGCCGATCCAAGAAATCCGCGCGGACCTCCGACAGCTTATGTTCATGCAGTTTTTCTTTTTCAAGGAGCTCGAGTTCCACCTCTTCCACTCCTCGAGGGCGCTGGTCCTCGCCGAGGCCTCCCTGGAGGAGGTGCGCGTGGTGATCCAGGACCAGCTGCGCAAGACGGTCTCGGCGCGGCTCTCGCCGCAGTCGGCCGCCTGGGCCGCCAGGCTGGCCTCGTGGGAGGAGTGGCTCGTGCTCGCGGACGAGGTGGCGGAGGGCTGGGCGTCGGCGCAGGAGCTGTGGACCCGCGTGGAGCCAATCTCGGAGGAGGGCTCACTCGAGACAACGGGGGCCTTCCAGCGTTTTTCGTTTTTGGGGGGCCTCCTGGGGGCGTCTCGTCGCCACGGCTGGATCCGCCTCGAAATGTGGGTCAAGATGGACCCTGGGAGGGGTCCTGGGTTTGGTGACCGATGTTGAACGGATTTGTGCCGGGCGGGCGAGCCGCCCTTTTCTCAACTGGCCCTCCTCCGACAGTCTTCAGCGGGCGGGACGTCTTCAAGCAGCTGCCGGTGGAGGGCAGCCTGTTCCGTAGCGCCGACAGACAGTGGCAGCGGCTCACGCGCGCGGCGAGCGTCAAGAAGTTCGCAATGGCCGCCTTCAAGCAGGAGGGGCTCCCGGCCCAGCTCGCCGCCTGCAGCAGGAAGCTTGACGAGGCGCTGCGAAGCGTGGCCGACCTGTGGGAGACCAAGCGGCAGACCTTTCCGAGGCTCTACTTCCTCCACGACAGCGAGCTCCTGGGCATCCTTGCGGACATCAGGGACCCCGGCAGGGCGGCTCAACAGGTGCAGCGGGTTTTCCCTGGCATCCACGACCTCGTGGCGCTGGACTCGGAGGGTGCCTCCGCAGTGGCTGGGATGGTCTCTGCACTCGGCGAGCGCGTGCACTTCGAGCAGGTCATCGAGCTGGACGCCTACGAGGGCGCCTTCGAGGAGTGGCTCTGCGGGCTCGAGGCCGCCATGCGCTCCTCCATGCGCTCCGCGTGCCTGGACAGCCTCTTCCAGCGGGGCTCCGACGACCATGCGGCCTGGGCGCGGCTCTACCCGACGCAGGTCGTTCTGTGCGCCAGCCTGGTGCTGTGGACGCAGACGGTGGTCAGAGTAGTATGATGTCATGACAGTGATACGTTCCAAGATTTCCTAGTTTCCCAGGAGTCCCCGAAAATACTGATGCTCCACACGGGCTGCACAGACGATGCACGATACCCGCTAGATATTCTGGAACTCCCAGGACGCATCCTGAGCCAATCCTATCATGGCATCATGCTCGTCCTAGGTGGAGTGCGCCCTGCCCGAGCACGGCGGCCTCGCGCGGCTCGCACGCCACTTCGGCGGCCAGCTCGAGGGGCTGGTGCGCGCACTGCGCCGCCCCGCCGGCGGCCGCGAGACTTCCGGTGGCGCTGCCGCCGACGCCCCCAGCGAGGCGGTCGGCTACACGTAAGAGTGACCTTTCGCCAGAGCGACCTTTGGTGTGGGCACACCGGGTCCCCAGATGGCTGAATGCGACGTAGCAGCGGTTTGCGCGCTCGGGTTTGGCCTCCCCGCGCCCCCCCAAAGCCGCGCACCCAAGGCCACTCTTGCCTGGGGTCACTCTTGCGTGTAGCCGAGGCGGACGCCGGGGACCAGGGCGCAGCTGGCACCGCCCAGGCGACGGCGTCGACGGCGAAGCTAGAGGCGTTGGTGGCCCTGGGCGTCTCCAGCCGGGACGCCATAGACGCCTTGCAGGAGGTCGGGAGCGCCTCGGCCGCGGACTTCGAGTGGCTGGCGATGATGCGGTACTACGTGGACGAGGACGACATCGACATCGACGAGGCCGCTCCCATACTCGACCCTGCGCGGGACGTCTACTTGAGCGTCATGAGCTTCCGACGCGATTATGGTTACGAGTATCGAAGACGCCTGCGAATCACCGCCGCCCCCTTGCCTTTTGGAAACGCCCATCTTGGGGCCGTCTGGAGCGGGAAGACCTTATTCCAGGCTGGCTGGTTAGGCCGAAGGCCCACAGGAAAAACTTCAAGAGGAGCATAACTTGCCCAAAGTTTGGCACGCCGTGCACCCCTGTGGCAAGCCATCAGGGGGCGGCGGACCTGGGCAGTGCAGCGCGGCTCGTGGTGACGCCAGCCACGGCGAGGGCGCAGCGGGCGCTCTGCAGTGCCGCTCACCTACATTTCGGGGCCGTCCTGCTTGGGCCTTCGGGCTCTGGGAAGGTTGCGGGCAAGACTTCTGTCCATATCCGCTGCGTCTTGGACTTTCGGGCTTCTCTATTGGAGGCTCGGGACGCAGTGGACATGGATAGCATCTGGCTCCTAGAGACGTCCGCTGTCTGGTCTTTACCCTTTACCCATGTCCCCACTGCGTCTCTGTTTTTGGCACCTTGTCCCCCAAACTCCAAGACGCCGTGGACATGTATAAAAATCTTGCCCGCAAAGGTGGCGATGGCGGAGGACCTCGCCTGCGCCCTGGGGTTTGTGTGTTTCGTGTTCCGCTGCGGCGAGGCGGGCGAGGGGCTCGACATGCAGACCATGGGGCACCTGCTCCGGGGCTGGGCCGCGAGCGGCTGCTGGTGCTGCCTGCGCAGCCTGGAGCACGTAGCAACTGGAGTGCTAGGCGCTGCCATGCAGCAGGTCCTCGCCGTCCGCCAGGCTTCCATGCGAGCGCAGGAGCTCGAGATCAGCAAACGGCATCATCATAAGCTCTCCGAGGCCTGCGCGGAGTTCTTGTGCCAGCGCCAGCCCAAGAAGCCCGCGCCGACCTCCGAAAGTCTATGCTTACTCCAGGTTGCTCAGCAAGCCCCCCACCCCAAGCCACCCCGACCGACGACCCGTCCTGGCCCCCCCGCGCACCGCGAAGGACAGCCCATTCCTACACACTCCTTCGCGATCCCCCCCCCCCACGCTTGTTGCACAATCTGGAGCATGCAGCTTGTTGTTTCTCCAGGAGCGCCTCGAGATCGGTGGCGACGTGCTCCGCCTCAACTGCGGTCTTCTGGTGGCCACCGCGGCCGGGGGTGCGCGGAGCGACGGGCAGCTCCTGAGCTGCATGAGGGCGCTCTTCCGCCCGATGGCCGTCGTGCCCCCGGAGCTCCGGCCAGCGGTCGAGGGCCGGCTGAGCTCGATGGGCTTCCTGTGCGCGCGGATGCTCGCATTGAAGGTGGCCTCGGTGTGCGAGCTGTGGCGGGACGTGCTGCCCGAGGAGCTGAAGCACCACTGCGGCCTCAGGGCCGTCCTGGCGGCGCTGGCCCGCGCGGGCCGGCCCCGGGGGGCCGACCCGGACGCCGCGCGGGAGGCTCGACGCTCCGCACGCGTGGGAGGGCCCCCCCCGCCAGAGTGGCCCTTGTTCGACCAAGAACCAATCGACACCACCCCACTTACGACCCGCTGGGTCGTAGACGGGTCGCAGGTGGCCGTAGTTGGGCAAGTGCCTAAACTTTCAACATCGCTGGGTCGTAGGTGGGGTGGTGTCGCTTGGTTTCTGGTCCAGCTTGTGGGGCGGGCCCGATGGGGGTCGCCCCGGTCGCCGCCGTGCTCAACGATGGCGGCGGCCTGCGCGCTTGGGTGTTTGCCCCGCCCCCCCCCCCGCCCCCGGGGCCCCGCGCTCCCCCCGCTGGCCCCCCCCTGAATCGAGTCGGGGGAGGGCCGCCTGAGACTCCGGCTGCTCCCCCCGCTCGGCCCGAATCCGCTCAAGATCGCCCCCTTGGACCCGTCTTGGGATGCAGTCTGGCTTGTTCTTCGAGGCGGATCTGCCCATGTCGACGGAGAGCCTCCGGGAGGCCCAGGAAGGGCAAAGAGCGCCAGGGAGGGCGCCGTTGCCTCGACTCGACTGCACCCCCTCGGAGTGCTTCTGCGCATCAAAGGTCACTCGTGCCTGCAGCGTCACCCCTGCGCGCCCAAAACGACCAAACACCTTGAGGATGGAGGTCGGACTTCCGCTCTGGATGCGAGAGGCCTCCAGAGTGGAGGAACAGAAACGCCTCCAGAGCAGAGGCTGGCCTCTCGCTCTGAAGGTCTCTGATCCTCTGCGCTGTGGCCTCGAGAGTCGGGGGCGGCCACGAGGATGATGATGTTTGGGGGGGGATGTCATGGCTGGGGCCAGGAGATCTCCCAGATCTCATGACCCCCTCTTCTTCTTTCAGTGTACGTCTCCTGGCCCCCCCTTGGGCCGCGCACATGCCTCGGGCCACGATTTGCGAGCCCTCTTTTCGGACGGCCCCATCCGGGACGCCCCCGAGAAAGGCGGCGCTGGTGCTCCGCGCCCTGCTGGACGCCACCCTCCCGCGGCTCCCGGAACGCGACGCCGCCGCGTGCGCGCGGGTCGCCCGCGCAGTGCTCCCGGGAGCCGAGCCGGCCCCGCGCGAGGCCTCCCTCGCCGAGGATCGGGGTCGGCTACGCGCGAGCGTGACCCTTCGCCCGAGGGACCTTTGTGTGCGGGCCCACATCGGAGGCGACGATAGAGGGCGAATTGCCCAGGGGCGGACAGCACGCGCATTCGCCCGGGAGCCTCCCCGACGGCATTTACCATGGGCGCCCCTGGATACATGCATTGCTCTCCCCTCGGCTATTCGCCCCCATCGTCGCCCCCGGCCACAGGGGTCCTGCCAGCGCTGGCTGGCGCACTTGGATAGCTCGGTATTGGCCTCGCCCGCGGTTCTCTGAAGTCGTGCACCAAAGGTCACTCCTGCTCAGGGTCACTCCTGCGTGCAGCCGACGGAGCAGGGCGAGCTGAAGCAGCGGCAGCTTACAGAATTTGTCCCCAGACCCAGGCCTCCTACGCATTGAAAAACCAAGACGGAGGGTTTTCGTCGTTCTCGATGGGGGCCCTCGCCGACCCCAGGGACCATCAAAAAACATCCAGGACGAAACGCCAGTCCCAGGGAAGTGGTCCAGAGCTCCCATGGGACCCCGCAATGAAAATCATCTAGACATCAGAGGGGTGGGGGCCCCTCCCAGGGTCCAAAAGCATCAGCTTTCCGAGCCGCGTCCAGCGGTGGCGACGTGGGGCCCCCCGAAGGCCAACTACCGTCGTCTTAGCTGGCCCTCCCTCTTAGAGGACCCGCGCCGCGGGGCCGTGCTCGACGCCTTCCGCACCGAGGCTCGGAGAACGTCAGGTGCACAGTACGCACCGACACCGATCATGGCCAGGCCGAACAATTTTTCAGTTGGGGGCCAGGTCGACCCTGGGCGCACACGCAAACACACACACACAAGCACACTTTTTAAAGCGGCGGCGCAGAGGAACCTCAGGCGCGGGCAGCAGATGACAGCGCTAATTTCAGACGGGCTTAGCCGAAAGAGCAGAGGTGCGAGGCGTCGCACTTTTTAAATTTCGTAAGATGGGTGGTGTAGTGATGGGATTGTAACCCCAAAGGCGTGCAGCGGCCAGAATCCGAGGAATACGCAAAACGAACTCGACGCAAGGCGAAGTGAAGCGCGAGCAGCCTGGTGCAAATTAGGAGCAATATAATCACCGACAGATGATGACCTCAAAAGCGTGCAGCGGCCAGAACCCCAGGAGCGCGATAGCTCGATTAAAGGACCGAAAAATCGGTACACATTACAACCTGCAAAGCTGCCAGACCAGCCGATTGGTGGGGCAACGCTGAGCTATGACCTGGCAAGACGATGGGTCGGGTGCCACCCTACGAGCCAGCGGCGCAAGAGCAATAGCATGGGAGGGGTGCTAGATCGACAGGCCGCGGCAGCACCACAACAGCGGACCCGACGCAAAGGCAGCCATACCAGCTTCGTGGTGGCGGCGTAAACACGCAGGGAGCTGCGCGACACAGCGACGCCACCGTCCTTGCATCAGCACGAACGCATAAGCGACCGTGCAACATAATGCAAGAGGTCGGCGTGACAAAGACGATCACGCGACCGAGGCTGACTTAGCCTTGGGCAACAAGAGACTAGGCTGAACGCGAGCGGCCGCGAGCAGCAACCGCTTCACGCAGCAGCGCACATGGGTGGTGGACAAGCGCGAGCATGGCCATGGGTGGTGGACAGGCGCGAGCATGGCCAGCGTGCAGTGAAGGCTCCAGCGTTAAAGCAGCAACCCCAACGCAGCCAAATCCGCGAATAGCTACCGTGAAGGCAGGTGAGAGCAAAACGAAAACATGAGCAACCAGCTAATAGGCTCAATAGAGACTGTACGCGCCACCACAAAGATCGCACCACACCGACCAAGGGCGACAAAGTGAAACAAGGACGAGCAAAGCGAACCCGCCAACGGGCTACGCCAACGCATAGATGCCGGCAGTCAAGCTGACATACAGCCAAGGCCAGCAGGAGATGCGACCTGCAGCCCCATGACGCGCACCCGGGGTGCGATGCAGAAAGCAAAAATTAAACAGGCCGCGGCCGTGCCACTCCGCGCCCCATGCCAAGGCGCAGGCAGCAAGGCGGCAAGGCCGCCGCCAGACAAGCTGCCAGACAGAAAAAGGCGCCGACCACGAGCCTTGCCCGAGGAAATTGCCACGCGCACAACTCGGGGCGCAAGAACGCCGGCGCCCCGGCCAGCACGCGCGGCGAAGGGCACCGCCCGGCCGAGCTCCCGAGAAGCCCAAGAGGGACACACGGTCAGGCAAGCAAAAGCCTTCCTGCCTAAGGCCTGCCTGCCTGTGGAGCACGCCAAGAAGAAAACGGTCCCCGGCCAGGCTGGCCCGCGCCCAGTACCGGG